AGGAGGTCCTAATAATATATATATATATATATATATATAAAATAAATAAAATAATGTATTGTCATATCATATATAATATTACTGTAAAAACTTTAAAAATACTATACCATGTAGCAGGACACTAACAAGCGGAGTTCTGGAACTTTTCCTAACTTGTTCAATGAAAAGTTGTCCGTCTGACAGTATCCTCTAAATAAATAAATATTATGTGATGATGCTGTTAATATATATATGCATCTTGGATATAAGTATTAATGTGTTTTCTTTCCAAAATTAACTTCTCTATTAGATTATATAATGGGGGATTTTTTTGAAGTACTGATACTAATTGCTTGTTTGTTAGAGCTGCTTTTTTCTCTTTTCTAAAACTATTTTTTAACTTGTTAATACGAAGAAGAAAATTCTATACAAAATGTCAAATCAAATATTCTTATCGGAGATAAACGATTAGAATTTGTAGCAAATCACTTTTCTTTATTAAACATGAAAAATAAATAAATAAACGACTTCAATTTTCTTGTCCAACATAATGTCGACTGAATTTAAATGATAAAATAGCATTGGTATTTAGATTCAGTTAGCTGTTGCAATTGTTACAATGAAGTTTAAATTAATAGTTTGCGCCTAAAGTCAAAATTATAGTCTTGTGATATAAAATAGATTTCTTTTCATTATAGACCTTTGTTTCATGATTTTTATTATTAAAATGACCGAAAATCAAAGTTGCCGAAACAACAAATGATACTATTGTAATTTCAGAGTTCATTGACCTTACTAATCCATCATTTGATCTGATGTTCAATTGCAAGCTAATACATCAATGAATGAACAATAATATAGATAATAAAAGCTGGTTGGGAAATATGGGTTATGATATTCAAGATTTAATAGATAGAAGGATGGTGAAATCGATGCATAATTTATAAATCACAATAATAAAGAAATTTAATAACATACTGTATATAATCAAGTTATGTGAATAAGAATATTTTTATTCGAAGTATAAATTTTGATAATGATAATAATAATAACAACAACAATAATAATAATAATAACAACACAAACTATTTATGACGTTTCATGTTGACAGCAAATCT